GTGGTTGTGTGCAGTATTTCAGTATTTGACATAACGTGATATGTATAATGGTTTCGTGTGTGTGTGTGTGTGTGTGTTGTTGTGGTGTGCTTGTGTTTGTGTGTGCGTGTGTGTTGTGTGTGTGTGTGGTGGTGTTTGTGTGTGTGTGTGTGTGGTGTGTGTGTGGGTGTGGGGTTGTGCCCCAAGCACAGTGTCCCTTTTAGTTTAGTTCTCTGACTGTGGATTAAATAGCTGGAACAAATGTACCGGAAACCCCGGGCAGAAGCACACATATACAAGCACACAAGAAGTCACACTCATACAATAGGTGCAGCAGACCAGTGTTTACTTATCTTCCTAAAACAGGAAAACAACACACAGTTGATTTATTGGAAAGATACTGTGAAGTTTAACTTGCTGAGATTTGAGAACATTTTTGAACAGTTTTCAATTTGACCGCAGTGTTTTGTTTGCGTATAGATGATAAAAAGTTTTCTCAGATTTCAATAAAATAACCACCTGCTGCTTTAATCATCCGTGGATCTTTAAGGACAGAATTACAACAACCACAGATGGCAGCACTCAAAATTAAGTAAAATAGCACCCGGGACATAAAGATACGGTGCCTGGGACAATTGTGGGACAGTAGAGGAATCTTTAGCAACTTAATTTCTTATTCAGACCATCGTGGAAAAATGTATTCAGATAGATTAGCAGTCAGTATGTGGGGCTGGTTTGACCTTCTCTCTCACTTTGTCTTTCCGGATGTCTGGATTAGGGTGTTCCTATAGCTCAGCTTATATGTAAATAGTTTCTTTGAGCTTGTAAATATTTAAATAGTTTGTTTTCTCTTCTCCCTCCCTTTATAGACACACTATAAAAACATGTACACTATGCCTGCAGTGAGTTTGTGTTTATTCAGCTTGATGATGATCATGATGATGAAGATGATGGCACTTCCATGGCAACCATAGTGAGTCAATCAGTAATGGGAAATACTGAAAAAGTTAAACCTTACTTAATATGTAGAATGGGGAAAGGGACAGTGAGTAAAAACCGACAGATGGCAGGTAGTCCAACATAACTTAAGTAATATTTGAAGTATTTTCTAGATTGCTTTCGAATTACAGTGCCTTAAAGGTTGATCCTCTCAGGCTTGCATTCTGGGAAAACATTGTTGTGTTCTGCTTCAGTTTGGTGCTGCATTCCCAGCTTTCACCATGTGTTTTTACTGAAGGACTCTGAGGTGTAAATCTGCATTCTGCTGGTAAACGCCTGGATTAAGCTAATGCGCACATACACTTGATTTAATAATGGGATAAAGGTATAATTGCTGTGTTTCAAGATAGTTCTTTTTATTGAAGGCAGGGTTAGTGCCAACCTCTTCCTGTAGGTTGAAGGGTGGACCTCGCAGTTATAATAATAATACACTCTGTGCTGCTCTGGGTGGTGTTCCTCCTGTTATGAGTTTGTTTTCACTTCTTGGGACCCTTTCTAAAGTTAGCTTCCCACTTCTCCAAGATTATCCTGAGCCCTGAATCCTAAACTATATTCAGAGACCAGATAAACATTACTTTTAAAATAATTTCCCTATAAATTACTCTCGCGTTCCAGAGACAGCAAAACATTTCTGTGTCTAACTCCAGTGTGCTCCTGCTCTTCAGTTGTCATGTAGGTTTTTTTTTCTTTTAGATTTGGCAGTGTCCTGTCCTGTTTGGCTTCATGTCCTTTGGCTTTTCCTAGAATTACATTACTGTGTCTTGAGAAGAGACCGCTAATTACGTTAGCACTTGTGCTAGCATCCCCCTGAACGGAAGCCATTAAGTCATTAAACAGTGTGTACCGCACACTCTGTTATTTCCCTCTCTGTTAATTAACCCCTGCCATACACATTCATGTATTCTTTCACATCAACGTCATCCAATCAGATTTAGGCCCTGCTGTACTCTAGACATGGAAAAGTAAGTCATTTATGTCATTGTTATTAAATTACGCTGGTCAGTTAAATCATGTGTGAATGCAATTTCAATGTATCTCTTCTCTTTTAGTGCATTTGAACTGTTTGTATATAGAGAGATTTAAATATCAAACCTTAGAATGATCAGCCAATAGGTTTTTTGTTTTTTTTATTTTCTCAAAATACTACTCAAGCCAAGAAAAAGAAAGGGAAAGAAAGAAAACAAGGGAAAGAAAAGATAAAGGCAGTAAAAGTGTAATAATAATGCAGATTCTCATGTAATGCAGCTTTCTATAGCCAGGGTTCAGCTGCCCTTTGCACACTGACATGTCTGAACATACATACACACACACATACACACACAAAATACTCTCTCTTTCATTAGCACAGCTGTAAACCTGTCAGCTCTTGCTTGGGGGCAATGCTGGATTTACAGAGAATGGAAACAGACCTAAGGAAAATAAAAAGAGAGGCCAAAAGAGGGGTAAGAAATATAGAAAGGTATTTATTGAAGACATCAACTTTAGCCTGAAACAAGATGTCAGCATTAAGAAATGTGCTTCAGGGAAATTTGTTAAAATACAGCCTGCTGTAATGAAAGTGCAGTTTAAAAACGGACAAGATTCAGTATTTTAAAAATGTGTTCAAGTTGGTTTGACATCAACAGGTAGCACTAAACTGGGGAAAGATTTTGCTTCCAAATGGCATCAGACACAAAATACATGCATAAACATAAGAATTAAAGCAGCAGTTGAGAGAATTGACTCAGCAGAGTCAAAACTAAACCGTAGAAGCTGTAATTGTAATTGTTGAAACTTTGTGGGCTTTGTAGAACAGCTTTTAAAGGAACTACTAAAGCTCCCTTCATATATCGCACTGCAGGCTGAGAGCACACTGCGTCCTCATACTGGGACCTCCGACAGATGCCTCACCGAGATCAGAGAGAGGGAAACTCTCAAGCCACAGAATGAAAAAAAACCATCTTTATTATTTATGGAAATAAAACCTTTAGTGCTTTGGGGGTGAAAAAACTAAAACTGGATCTCCGTTATGGTGAGGAGGTGTCTGTATGTGTGCACAAGTATGCAACTTTTCTTTGTATCTGTAAAATACAACAGAATGGCCAAACAACACATACATACTCACAAGCACCCACACAAACAGTATGATAGTTTCAGCACTCTCCCTAGAAAAGTATTCTGGAAAAGATGCTTTCAAAAGCATTGTTTTTGGTCATTCAGTGCCTTGCTCAAGGACACAGTTGTGACTTTTCCAATTCCAATATATGTATATATCTTTTTTTTTCCTCTTTCTCTGATTAATGGCTTTGGTAGCTTTTGTATAAACAGGTGCTGCTTCCTAACACCTGATCTCCTAGTGACCATAAATATTCATAAAGCTCTGTTTCTTGAGGTGTGTTCATGTCTCTGCATATGCTGCGGGGACATGTGTGCCTTTCTTTGCGTATACAAGGGCACACCTATTGTATTTTTTTAAAATGTGCCTTAATTGTTTCCATATGTAAGTGTTTTTCCTCTGCAGTGGGACACTTATTGAGCTGTGGCAGTGGCCATTCATATGATGCAAGGTTGAGTATATTAGCAGGATTATTATTTCTGGATGAGACTCCTCATGGCCAGCAGGCCTGTCTGGATCGATTTTCTCATTTTGGCTGCAGCATGATGATGATTTGTTTACTAAAGAAATTGTATGAAATTCAAGCAATGATGACATTTGTCTTTAATTCATGAGCGGAGTCACTGGTGTTGAATTTGAGTACCAGATGCAGATCAAGAACAGGATCATGATACCTTGTCTGCGTGTTTGTGTGTGTGTGTGTGGGTTAGCGATGGGTAGCGTCGGGTTCCTGCTCTTAAGCTCAGTGTGCATCTGCATGTGGTATGAGGAGAGATTGGTTGGTCATGAGATGATGTGATGTGATGAGTTCACAACTAGACAAAGACGAGGAAGAATGAGAGTCATATCAGAAAAGAAATGGAGGGGGACAACTGGGCTTTCATCTGGGGTAAGAATAAGCCAGGAGCATTTGAGATTTTTTTTTTTTTTTAGCTTAATTGTATAGTAAAATAAGTAAATGACATATACGAAAATGTATCAGAGCTGGAATGAACTTGAGATTGAACTTCCTTCTTTTGTGTAAACCATTTGTCGTGACCTTCTGTTGTTAAATCAGCTCATAGTACACCCTGATAGTGCTGAACACAGAAACCAAGACTGTATCTGCAAATCTGTGGTGTAAACTACATTTTCTTCTAGTCAGTTTGTTGACCGCAGAAAATAAAGGTGAAAATGACGCTGAAGTGTTGCATCAATACAGAAGAAAAATAAATGACTGTTTCAAGGTCCTGAGTTTCTATTTAAGAATTTCTTTCCGAAAGCTACAGTTTTTTTCTTTTTTTTTTCAAGGCCAACACACACTCACACTTGTTGCTTTAACAATAAAGTCATCGTTATTGTATTGTTGGTCAGTGAGCAGCCCCATTAGAGCAGCTGGAGATCCGATTCCTTGTTTATCATACTGTCGTTTACACAGTAGATATGGAGGGAAGGAGCAGTGAGCCTTGCTGGATTCCTCAGTTATTCCAAGTTAGTCTAGCAATTCAAACTGGCAATCGTATGGCTCAGTGCATTAGGGATCTCACATGCTGTATGTAGCGTTATGGATTGACGTTGAAGCTGTGTGACCTACAGTTGGTCCCTCTGTGCTCCATGGTTTTAAATTAAATTCTTTCCCCATTGATTTTCACAGTGCACAATTTTCCAAATCCAAAATGATGCCTTGACTATTGTTAGGCTGTCCGTCCATCTGCGATGACCATGAACGCATTCTTAGCTCTGACAGACAGTGTTTGCTTTCACAGTGATGCAGCCAGTCACTCAATAATACATAAAACCGCCACCTTTAATCTCGAGGATGATAGATGCAGGACAGCTGACAGAACATACCCTTTAACCCACCCCCAGACACCACCTTTTAGTCATGCCTTTGGTGTTTCTTCATACAGTAATTCACCCTTTTCCTCTTTCTTTTTTTCCTCCTCAGGATTGAAAAAACGTACCAGGAAGGCCTTTGGGATACGGAAGAAAGAGAAGGACAATGACTCCACGTAAGATCTGATCCCCCTTCCTGTGTACTATGATCCAAACATAGAGCATATTAGTGCAATGGAGCGGAGAGCTGGCTGAAACCTCTGAATTGGACTAATTTATTTTGAGAAGAAAAATTGATATATGGCAGCAGGTCGTGCATACGCCAAAGAATGAAAGGATTAGAATAAGTAAGAACAATTACGGGATTAGTTTTAAGTACGGGTCTTGTCAAATAAATGTAAGGCTGCTGCTGCACAGCTGAAGAGTCTAGAGTCAATTATGAGCCACAGTGGTATGTTGTGTGTTGTATTGTATTAGTGGATCTGTTAAACTGACAGTATGACATGTTATAATGGATCTATAAAATAACAAGCATACTTTAGCATACTAAATATCCAGTGCTTGAGACATTGCTTGTTTGCATACAGCTGAAATGATGTATGAAAATACAGCAGGATCTAAATAAGACTTAACAGACCAAATCTATCACTTATGGAGTGCTGCATAAGGTCAGCTTAAAGAATCTTTGTCAGCGTGATAGTTTTCCAGGGGTGTTTAGCCAATTTGTATCTGAGCATGAGACAGTTAGACTTACTGTAAGATGTTTCTGTGCGGTGAAGTCAGTGAGAGTGTGATTTGCGAGTGAATAAGTGTGTGGGTATGATGGTGTGAAAAGGTTTTCCTTGAATACCTCTCTTTCGGCTCAGCTAAATAGCAGAGCACTTGATTTCAAAACGAAGAGCCCACGTGTTAAATTACTTTTATGGTCTCCTTTCTTCCCTCTTCTATATCTTTTTCTCACAGGGGGTCCCCAGACAGAGACGGGGGTGTAAGTAACAGAAAATGTTTAATATATATCAGCCAACTAATTAATTTGTAAATTACAATTCACTCTACACATAATAATACTTAAGGAAATCAAGTGTGGTGATTGTGAGGTACATTATTTATTTATTTTCTGTATTCTTTTTACTTGCCAGGATCCCCAAGAGGTTGAATCGGTACTGAACTGTAGTTTGTAGTCCTTTTAGAGTAGACTATCCTCTAGAATAATTAGTCTAGAGCTTAGATTAGTTATAACATTCATTGTTATTTAACTCATCAGTCGGCTGACAGTGTTTCTGTTTCAGTTATCTTTTCATTAGCAGAGTCTTAGAGTAGTTTGAAGACACTTGAATCTTGAAATATTATCCAGCACTGTGGGACTGTTTGCAGCATGTTCATTAGTAACAAGAACTACTGTACTGTCACCATCTGGTAGGACTTTAATCAAAGTGTCCCTCTGTTCTCAGTCTCAGAAGAAGACCAATGGGGCCCCTAATGGCTTCTATGAAGATATCGACTGGGACAGATATGTAAGTAAAAGTTGACTGTAGGATTATTATTTTACACTGATTTTAAACGGTGTTTGGTCGGCACCAACTGACTGCTGCTTTGTTTACATCTGAACTGAATGAGCTTATTGTATTGATCCATGTTATTGTAAAATCAATGTGCTATTGACAAATTTGTGCACAAAGCATGTCAACAGTGGCTACAGATACTTAATCAAGTTGACTGCTCACATATTACATCCTGATTATCACTTTGTCATTATGCATTTGGTCATGTTTCATTAAGCAGGGAACCTAGCATTCCTTACGATTGGAAGTCTCCATATTTATGGTCTGAATATGTCAGTTGGTACTTTAACTGGGGCTTAACTGACCCACTGCTGGTTCTCTGTTAACATTGTATTCACATACAACTAATATGTGTGTTTCTGATAACATCATACAAACATTTAAAGAGATTTATTCTCACTTCTCACTTTTATGTTTCAGAATTCCCCTGAGGTGGATGATGAGGGCTACAGCATCAGACCTGAGGAGGAGTCAGAGGAGGGAGATATCCTCAGCGCTGCTTCATTTGTCATTAAGCAGAATTCATTTGTCTTATTTTATTTCTGCCAAGTTATTTTGTCTCTGTAAAAACTGATTGCTTGCTTCCATTGTTCAGTTTGTTAAATCGGTGCACACTGATTGCAGAGTAGTTTGTGTAGGAAGTCTCATTCACATGGGAATGTACTTCACCCCCTCTCAAATTCTACTGAGGCAAAATCAGTGGAAACAAATTTTTACGATCAAATATAATTTTGCAGAGAAATCTACATATTAAAAAAAAAGCCACTTGACTTACAGTGATGATAAGTGCGTCAACTGCTTAACAACGTGTCAAAACATCCAATTAACAAAGATCTAAATAAAGGTAATGAGGTGCAGCACATAACGTTGCTACAGAAGAATGAGTCATTGATGCGCCAGACATGAACAAGAAGGTGCAGAGAAGAGTTTGAGAAGCCCTAGGACCTGTTTGCAAAGCGTGGAATTATCACTGTAATCAATACGCTGATTCCCCAGACTGTCAACTCATTGAGCAGAGGTGACGCTCTGTTTTCTTCACCGTCACTGTTTGTTATGACGGTGATACTATATTCATCACTTTGCAATTACCACCTCAGTAGGTTGAAAATTGCATCTGATTTTAAAGGGACACGCGCCTTCATCTTGTGGGCAGGCATGCACCAAATTTGATCCAGTATTTGTAGTGGGTCGTTGCTAGAAATGCATTACTTGTCACTCAATCTAAAAGTAATTTTTAGGTTTAAATTGGTATCTCATCCTCCACTTAATCAGCCATGCAGAAAGGTTACTGTTGCTTTCTAGAGCAGAAAGACAATAATTGAAACACGACAACATTAAATGGTTTATGGTTTTATTAAAAGTTTTATAGAGATTATTTTAGATTTTGGCAGTCACCCAGGGAATAAGGCTAGTTTCACCAGGGATGTATTTCCTGAGTTTGGTAGCCCTGACACAATCACATAGTCGCCTGTACAATATTTTCAGTGAAATGTCCTGGACTGTTTAAGGCAGAGAACTTTGCTTTCCTTGACACTGCAATACCGCCTATCACCAAAAAGCCCCACTTCTTTTCCTCTGATGAGTCGGAAGAAGAGGAGGACCACAGGAAAAAATTCAAAATCAAGATCAAACCGCTGCCGGCCAATCGTGTAGTGTCGGTGCCCTCGGTCGACGAGCTCAAAGCCTCCATAGGCAACATAGCCCTGTCCCCGTCTCCTATGGTGAGTAGCCCCGACGTCATCGCCCTCTCAGTGCCAGCTGTCATTAACAGGCAGCTGTGTATTGGTCTGGATGGTTATAATGTGTATGTGCAAATCACTCCTGCTGCTTATCTTCATCCTCTTTTACTGCCTTTTAATATGTAGATATTTTTTTATGCACAGAAATGGACGTGCATGTATGTTTGTTCTTGCGTTGTCTTTGTTTGATTTGCGTTGCTATCTTATATACTGATGATTTTTCCACGCTGAAATACTACATGTTGTACAGCACATGCCGTACTCTTGTGTGTGCTGGTATCTACTGAGCTACTATCTCTCTTCAGTATATTCTTTTATTCCACCACCGTTTTGTTTTAAGTGTTGATTGAAACTCTAAACGTGTCACTGCTTCACTTGTCTTGGGTCTCTACATGACAACAGAAGTAGTTTGTTTTAATGAGCCAGTATGCAATATGTGTGTATGTACTATCTACACTGAAATCACAATCCATGTCCCTGTAATGAGTGAGGTCAGGTTTATAGGGTAATCTGAATTCCATATAGTTCATTTGTGATGCTTGTAATACTTGGTCAGTGCTGTCAGTGTCCTCAGTGTTTAGTCCGGTGTAGTTTAACACTAGGCAGATGTCCCATCACAAGAGAAACCATCTGACGACGTACCGCTGCCAAATAGCAGCGTGTAAAGCTCTTGTTTGAGTCAATGAGTCCAAATTCAAGCACAAATCCCCTTTAGATGGCCTGTAATTAGCGTCGGGACCCTGCCTTTCTTGCTTCTACCCACATGTCCTATGTTTGTCAGTGAGGACAGTTAGCTTGGGTGTCCGCCTTAAATAATTTAGGTAGGAAAGTGGGCACAATGAACCCATGTGTCGGTCTGCTGTACAGTGAGATTGCTGGTGGTCATTTGAGCTTCTGGACTTAATAATTTAATCCAGTTATCCTGTGTTCACCCACTGGCTCTGTTAACCTGATCAGGTGTGAAGGTCTTTACATGGCTGATAATGGTTGTGAGCACATGCGCTATTGATAGGAGACATTGGTTGTTTTTACCAAGTTTTTTTTCCTCACAAATATGACTCTGAACCAATTAGTCGATCAACAGAAAATGAATCTGAATGAATTTTGTTTATGTATTAATGGAATTGAATTAGCAATTAAGCATTTGCTTGTTCCAGCTTCTTAAATCAAAAAAATTGCTTCCTTTCTCAGTTTTCTGTCAGTCTGAATTGGATATCTTTAAGTTTTAGACTTTTGGTTGGTGAAAACAAGCACTTTGAAGATATCACCTTTGACTCAAGGAAATTGTGTGTATTTTTCACTATTTCCTGACATTTTATTAAGCAAATGACAACAACAGATTAATTTATGTTGAAAATACACATAAGTTGAATCTCTTCTTTTTTTTTTTGTGTGGATGTGTGGATGTTGATACCTTTTTCCTAACATCCTTTTGAAATTCATATAATGCAGTCAAGTCACCTGAATGTTACCCTAAATCATGACATTGGAATTACTGGCCTGTAGTTGTGGTTATGCAACTTCCGCCATCACATCTACCAGTTCAAATTAGCATCACGTTTGCTTGTGCCCAGCTTTTCCCCACACACATAAATTACATGAGTCACACAGTCACTCTCAGTCCCTGGCAACTCTGGGTAACCCTGGATGTGGACTGACAATAAAATGGTCTGATGAAAAGAGGAAGAGGGGCCAAATGTTAACAGGCCTCCAAGAGCAAACACTGCTTCTTTCCACTTATTTCTAGTTCTTTCTTTTCCTTGAAATAATCAAGTAAATACTTTTTCCCCAGACTAAAACATTCCTGACTTGCTCTTATTTTAAAAAAACAAGACTCACAGTTAAGAACAGCCCACAGCCATTTGAATATAATTGATATCCCAGAGACTAATACTTTACATTATGATGCTCTTTCTCTTGATGTTGGTTTCCTGCACGTAAATATGACATTGCATTGACAAGCTCTCACCACAGCTTTGAAAAACCTAAAACACACAGCAAGTATTATGCATCGCTGGATTGTGAGTGTTTTATTTAGCAGACTGCGTGAGCTTAATTTCTGCGGCAATGTTTGGCATATTCTGCATGAATTATTCATATGTACACAAGCTTGTGAGCGGTACATGATGATGCAGGTTAACAGCTTATTTCACATAAAACCTTAGCCACGATTCAGTGCTCCCATCATGTTAGGAGGAGTAGTGTTTAATGTGTAGGTGGAGGAATGAAGGAACGACTGGATTCAGTGAATAGCTATAGTACTACACAAGCTTTATGTGTCTGTATTAATGATTGCAGCTGATTTAGCGACTCCCCACAGATGCTTTGCTTTGCGTTGCCAATGTTAATACGCTTTCCCCTCTTGTCTTCTAACTATTCCACCATTCTTTCTTATCTCTCGTTCCTTTGCTGCCTCTAATGGTGCTAACCTCTGTAGAGGAGTCCGGTAAGCCTTTGCTTTGCATGCTGTTGTGTTTTTTTATCCTTTAGTGTTACAGTGTTACACTTTCATCCCTCTTAATGCTTGGAAATGTGTTTTCTCATAGTGTGTAACAACTATAGGCTCTATGATTGGCCCAGTGTTTCTAAATGCCAAGTCTTTCTTCTTGCGTGTGTTTCATTGTTTGTTATATAATAGACAGATTACTGTACATGCATGTGTGTGACTGCTTAGCATTTGTATTGCACATGTTGATTTCTTTGCCTGGTTACGTGGAGAACAAGAGCGCTGACTTTTAAATTGTTTCCGCTGACTAAGACATCTTAAATCTGATTTTAATTGGTTCTTGAGCTTCCAGTTCTCAGTCCAAATAACAAGACTACAAGCAGTAGAGGAGGCATGGAAAAGGTCAGGATTGGAGTTCAAATGTTAGAAACTAAAAAAAGACATCTTACATCACATATTATTCCTCCCTTGTCATATTGTCTACAATCATTTCAACCAGAAATTTAATTTGGAAGACATTCATTTTATTTTTCACTTTACAGCCCAGCTGACTCTGTTCAGTTATTAAATGTGTCATAACCTTTGCACCAAAATCAAATATTGAATTTCGAAAATGGAACAAACTAATCTTCTGATTCTTATACATTTTCTGATTTCAAAAAGACACACAGTGGTTTGGAGCGGCCTGTTTTAAACACAGCCATGTCTGTACACAACTATTTGTGTTAACAGTGATTGTTAATCCCTTACAGAGGCTAAAAGGTCACAGTGTGTGACTCTAAACACTTCCTGTTGTTCTTCCTGTTTACATACAGCCGGGAGAGGATGATTGGTTAAGACGAAGAGTGCTGCACTGTGTCCTGCACCAGTTTACCCAATGAAATGAATCCTTTCTTCCAGCATGTCCCACCCCCTTGTTGCATCACTTTAATCACTCATGGCTCACTGCACAACTGGAACAAGCACAAGAGTGAGAGAGAGGGAGGGAAAGAGAGAGAGAGAGAGTTGATGCGAGGTGGACGTGACGCAGGCAGATGGAGAGATTTCAGCAGGAATGAAAGAGACCAAGAGGGCAGATGGGAGACTACAAGGGGAAATGAAAGGAAACTCAAAAGGATTAGATTGCAAAAATGACATGGTTTTTAACAAAAATGATCAAATAAAGGGATGGAGCTGGAGACAGTTGAAGATAAAAGCGGGGGCAGGAAGAGAGGGAAGTGATTTCAACAGCTCCACAAGATATTTTGGATGCTGTCCAGTCACAGCAGGTTCACAGATGACATTAGAGATTCAAGCAAATATCCTCATTTATCTGAAGCCATGGAATTGCTACAGTTTGTTTTTTCTCATCAACAAAAGACGTGGACGTAGGCATGAACACAAACACATAGATCGGTGTGGATAAGTCATCCTCAGCTGTCTCTTAATACCCACTCCCCTTATTATCCAGGACTTACTGAGCTATTTGCATTTTTGCTCAAAGATCCTCTACATACTACTAGCAATTTCTCATAAAATCCAAGGCACATGATCACATAACGTCCCTCTCCATGGCCATGGTATCATCCTTATCCCCAAATCTGACCGACAAGGCCAGCATTCTTCTTCTCCTGGTGCATATGATGTCTGCTTTACTGATTTGTCACTCTCTGACCAGGTATCTCTTCTCTCTTCCTTTTTGCTGGTCACAGAGACGTAGTCCGGTAAGTGTCCTTTTCTTCCGTCTCCCTGGGGTAAAATGTTGCCACATGCTTCTTGTACCCTTTCTTTTGCTCTAACCTTGTCCTTGGAGTTGGTCAAATAAGACAGACAATACCGTAGGTGGGTTCAGTGGCTGAGCCGATGGGTCAAAATTGTTATCTAATTTGTTTTGACAGTCATATTTAAACATATAAATAAATATAATTTTTTTCCCCCCAACATTCTCAAGATTACTTGATTGCACTTGTTTTTCATCTTGAATGGCTTCATGCTTGGTCTCTGTAGCGGGGGGAAATTTGCACTTTTGACAGCTGGACCCTTTGATGTCTTACTTCAGTCACTCCCCATCGCCGTGTCTTCTCATCTCATCTGCTCCCGTCTCTCCCCCGTCCCTCCCTCTCTCTCCTTATCTGCTCTCTGCCTTTCTTGGCCTCTTGTGCCACTCTCATGGTGAATTCATACATGCGCTCATATTCACACGGGTGTTTAAGATCACAGCCAAAGGTGCAATATTATTGTGCTGTTGCTTCTCCAACAATAAAACTCATTTCTCTTTTAACTTTCTTACGCTCAGCCTCACACCTGCGCTGGTACCAGGGGCTTCTTGACTTCAAAAGCATGTTTTGAAAGCTTTCCAATATTTCTACTGCAGCAGCAGCAGTTCACCAAGTTGCCATTTTCTAACCTGATACTAACAATATTATTATTGAATTTTGTTGCTATTTATTGGAGTAACTTACTCCTCTTGATTTAAACCGTATCCATAACAGCAGATATTTTTGCTGTTTCATCTGATATACAACAGCTGCTGAGAAGTGTCTTGTGACATAATTATCAAAGTGATTACTGTCATGCGGGTCAGCATTAGCCTATTCCAATTCTGGATTTGCAATCCGTGTGAATATGTTCTGTAGTTACACAAGGAAGACTTTGATAATGTCATCACTAAAATGAAACTATTTACAGTTAAGAATTTTATTCTGGACATACCTAACGACTGCAAAAAGTATTTCAATGTGGGGGTGGCCTCTCTGTCTCAGGGTTGGGGCACAGACAGCTGGTAGGTCTCATCAGATTAAGTCAACCTGAGGCTGGAGTTTATCCTCTGACCTTCACTAGTGTACAGCCTACAACATTGTTCTTGTGTTTCATTATTAAAAGAAAAGGTAGATGCCGTATTGTATTTTATATTTTACATTTTGTAAGGGGGGCTCTGTAGTATGGTAGCATAATAGACGCATGTTATTATAATTGATGCCACATTGTACTTGTTAGTGACTCTTTGCTGTTGACATTTTTAGGTTTTATGTCTTTGAGTAGTTAAATTTTACTGTCATTTTTTTCATGTTACAGGGTTTGAAAAGGAACACATCCAGTAAGTATCAGTCTCCTTGCACGTCCAGGCCAGGTTCTCTTTTAATGATGGTGTGATGCGAGAGTCGTAAACGGATTTAATTATGGTTCCAGGTGAGGAGATTGCCAGACCGAGACGCATCGTCCCTACTGTACCCACTGTGGCCCCCACACCAGCTCCAGCACCACAGCCCCCCAGGTATGTACCTCACTGTTTCCTGCCACCTAATGTAAAGGTACTTCAATAAATGTATCATACTGTATGTGTCACTGCAGGTCCCTTCTCCTGTCTTGTGTCATTATGTTATACTTTTACACCTTAAAATTTAACAAAAAAAGAAAAAAGCTTTTTTACTTGTTCAACCATTCACTGTTTTAAAAAAAGCTGTATCTGGTTTTATCATTAACAGATGCTGTGTAGTAGATTTGCTGTACAATGCATTCTTTTTGCTGAAACTGAGATGGAAGTGATTAATAATGGTAATGTTCTCGGCAGATTACAGTAATTATAGTAATATTTCAAAATGTACTCATTTATGGGTGTTAAAATGTTACATGTAGCTCGTCATATTCGTTTTTGAAAGGTGTCAAATTTTGGGCCAATTTGTGAGTTTTCAAATGTCACCATCAAGCGTCATTAAGCCTGTCATGGTGTGATGGATAGGGGATTTATGTCACATCGACAAGTGGAGCAACACCTTTATGGACCTTGCAACGTTCTGCATTTGACGCAAGTCTTTTTAACATCGCTGCAGCTGTCTAGCTGGTTTTCATTGAGCAGGAACCCTTACTGTGATTACCTAAGTATTAACTGAAGTTAATCAAGTTTAGAACAGCAATAAATGTTGCTCAGTCAATCATGGTGCTTGTAACATAATGGCTGATGAACACTACAAGATTTTGCCAAACATCTGCCATCCAAACATAAGAAGTTTGAGTAAAAAAAAAAGGGTTTATTTTGCTTGAGGCTTTAGTGAATCTTCAGAGCTGTGTTTATATACCCCAAAACACTGTGATGCTCTGTGTGCTGTGGGGATTTAAAAACATACTCTTCTAGTATGAATGCATAAGTGTTTATAGTTGTATTCATACTTATTGGTCTACATATATTTGTTGTTCCCCTGGAACCCCATATAATGTGAATACAATAAACTACTAATAATTACAATGTAGCTACGTTCTACATTTAAATACACAGCCATTCATAAAATCCACGAACACTTAAGACAACATCAGATAGAAAAACATGTATATTGTTTTAGTTACATCTGCATTTGTTTTCTTAAACATGTTGGTACTTTTTGATTCTCTATTACTGTTTAGTAACTTCATGCACAGTGTAGCTAGTCCTAAAATTACTTCCTGTGTCACACAACCTCTTTTCTTATTTTATCTTATATAAATACATTTTTACTTTATATTTCATGTCTGTTGCAGCAGTCAACAAATACCTGTCTCTGAAGACACCACAGCCTTATTTGGGCCTCCTCTGGAAACCCCCTTTGGAGATCCAAAAACTGAAGGTAACCCTCCTCCCTGTTTCTTTGTCACTCTGTGTCTCTTTACACATTTGTCTTTGTTTTTGTGTCTGTCTTGGTTCTTGGAATATGTTTGTGTTGATGGTTGTTACCACTGTTGTCGTTGTGTCATAATGTGAGCAACACAATGAGAGAGGCTTTCTGAACACATACTTATTGTCTCTTTAAGGCTGCCAGCTAAGCCCTGTTTGGCTGTCATAGCAGATACACTCTCTCTTCCTCTCTCCCCCTCCCTCTCACCTATTTCTCTAACATTGTTGTTCTTCCCTCAGGCTCACTGTGCAGTAGTGGATTCACTCCATCTGTCTTTGCTAAGGTCAAAGTTTAAATTGGCACTGGGAGGTCATGTTCATGTGCACAGCGCAGCTAGTTAATATTCAGATTCTGCTGTCACCAGTTCTCATCCAATCCAGTAGGACTTAGAGGCACATGCTGTGGGAGAGCTCTTAGCTGTTACGCAACTGCCATGTCAGGCTTAACTAACATTAACCTGACACAAATTCCCTTTATACATTTATTCTGACTAAAAAAACAACAACTCTGTGTGTGACACTGGAAACTTTTTACTTCCAAACTCACTATGGTTTTATCTTTACACGATACTGTATAAGCAGCATGCCTTTTTCCTAGCCACTGTCGCCAAGTGCTTGCTTGTGGTGGGAATTGTATCAATACTATGCTGAATTCCTAAAATGATAATGCTATGATACTGGCAGATAAAAAAAAAAAGTGTTGACAAGTCATAAGTGGACAGATTTGTCGAGCAGCAGCTGTTGCACATCGGTTTTTATGTTGTTTGTGTGGCTGTCTTGGTCACCTCTGTGCCCAGTTTTTATTCTGCCTCTTCAGTTTGAGTGAACAGGGTTGTAGTCATGTCTTCAGATGTCAGCATCTTGTGCTCAACCCTGTATTCCACTATCATAGCAGCACTAAAATTCACTTGGCAAGGAAAAACATTCTAGGTGTTCTAGTGTTACAACACATACTGACTTGCAGTCTGCCACTGAGGCTGGGAATCTGTTTACTCTAATGAAAGATTTTATTGACATGCTGATCTGTGTTGTTCCCCTCTTAGACCTATGACTTTTTTTAACCCCCAAAGAATCAGAACCCCTCAAGTGTGTTTGGTTGTAATGCCCCTGACTTGGCCTCTTCTGTCCCCCCCTAAAATTAGTGGTTCTGTCTGAGTCCGATGCGTGGGCAGTTCCTCTGTCAGAGCCTGAATCTTCTTTGACAAGATCCTTCCCTGCAGGAAGTAAGTTTTATAGTTGCCTGTATATTGTGCCACACCTCCTCTTCTCCTTGGAATGACTGCACAGCTCCATCAACTCACCCCATGAAACCCCTCATCATCCGACTAACAGACAGACCTGCGAACTGACCCCATCAAACATCAGTGTGGCAATAACACTCTGCTTCTCTTTAAAAACAGCCAGCTGTAACCTGTTTCATTTCGTCAGCCATTTCACCACATGATTCAGTGTTTGTTGTAGTTTATTAGATGGGAGCTTTCACTACCTGTCTGCCATAATGCACCAACCTATCCTCTGTCGCTGCCTTCTTCTCGCATTTGGCATGATTTTGACTGAATGTACCGTGCTGCATGGTTGATGATTTGTAGGCTGATTCCTTCTCAAGTTGTTGTGCTTGTGTTTGGCAGGTATTATAATAATTGTCATGTATGGATGTATCAGTAATTTGTGTGTTAAAGGCTAAACCATGAAACTACTTTTTTTTTGCATTGTATGCAGCCCACCATCAGTGACGTGAAAAGTCCATTCAGTTCATACAAACATTGCCTAATCAATAACCACCCATCGTTCATTAGGCACTAATCTCCTGGAGTTACCTGTTATAGGACCATTCATTGTTGCCTTGATCATTTTATTGCAGCTCCACCTCCACTCCCACCCAAGAATGTTCCGACCTCGCCCCCGTCGACTGGCCCTCCCTCTACAGAAGACGCTGGTAAGAAGTCTTTTTTTATCTATTTCTGCCTCCTGTTATATCACAATGTCACCTCAGGATAAAACAAACTTTTACATTTGATCTTCTTTATCTCCAACTTTGTGTCTCTAACTTTCTCTGTCTGTCTGTCATGTTTTATCTCTGTGTGTAAACATACTGAGCACCCCTGCAAACATGGCCTTTGATTGGTCAGTGCTTGTCTGTGTTTCAGAAGTGTCAACAGAAGTAGACGGCTCCACCAGAAAGCCCTCAATAGCTGACTTGGACAACATTTTTGGACCAGAACAGGCTCCCCCTGCTGGCGAGGATACAGGTGAAACGTGGGTCTGCTTCAGTGAAGAATCTGCTGCCCGGCCGCCTCTACCAGAGGAATCTGCACCTCCACTACCAGCCTCCCCGCCTCCACCTGAATCTCCTGCCCCGCCCTTACCTACATCACCACCTCCTCCAGAAGACCCTGCACCACCTCTCCCTACCTCCCCTCCCCCAAAAGAAGAACCTGTGCCCCCTCTACCAACCTCCCCACCTCCCTCAGAGGAGCCTGCTGCACCTCCTGTCCACTCAGGTCCTCCTACACCTGAGGACCGAAATCCTCTCACACTCGCCACATCTCCACCGCCTGCACCACCAAAGGAGCTTGCGTCTCCTCCCGCTTCCTCTCCCCCTCCTCTTGACTCCCCAGCCAGCATCCCACCAGCCCCTGCTCCCAAAGCAAGGACCCCTCCAGCGGTGACTCCTCCTGCTGAGGAACCTGCAGCAAGCCCCGTCCCACCACCTCTTGTCCTGTCTCAAGAGGAGCAGTCCAAGAACACAGACGCCCCCCAACCCAAAGAGGACGGAGGTGAAACAGTCACCTCGCCCAACGATGCTAGCCAGGGGAGCCGGAGTACACCTCCCCCACCTCCTCCCCCCACATACCGGGCTGTGGTGTCGTCACCGGGTCCCACATCTGGAGCTGGTGGCACGAATAGCGGTGAATAGTCCATTAATTTAAGTGGGATATGGGTTATAGAGGACAGGTTTCTTTAGAGCTCAGACATAATGGAAACATGGAAATAACTCCAGAGGACAGTGATTGATTGTCACACTCACACAAATGGAATTGTGAAAACACAGAGACAGTTTCTAGGTCATCATACTAGTCAGGTGACTTGTAATAACGATAGCATCAATTGTTTTGACTGGAGTTTAGAAGGGATTGTATTTCCAGCATTACGCGCATCTGAAAATTTCCTTTCAGTTGATTGCACCATCTTTGTTGTGAAACTTGCACAAACTGAACTGTGTTTCTGTATTTTTATCCCTGGAAAAGAGGTCATGTTTTGGCCCGGTTGGATGCACACCACCATTTTACTGCGGAATTATGTTGCATTAGCAGAGATTGTTGTTCTGACTGACTCGTAGTTCAAGGCCAGACTTCACTTTGGAACATTTTCATTTATATTGCACATACGCTGTCTTCTGTAAAAGTTGTCAAGCAGTATCACTAAATCGAAATACCTCTACCTTTAAATGTATGATCATTTCAGCTGTCCATTATGCAGGAAACAAAAATCTTTTCTGTTAAATTTTAATGAGCAATGGACAGAATACATTATGTGAAGAAGTAGTCTCAATGCTAGGCAGAACACATTTAAATTAAAATTTAGGCCAGTACTTCACAGAAGAAAGTGTGTGACTTATTAGCTGAGAAGAAGAAATAATTGCAGGTCTAGGAAACTCCTAACAGTCAGTGGTAACAGATACCCAAGGCGTCTAAAATAAGAGGTTGTCTGTAAACTGAAATGAAACAATAATATATAAACTTTAGTTTGTATGTTTTGTTAAAATGAAAATCAAATTTATGTTATAACTGAAACTACATACATCCCTTGTTTATACTAAATTATTACATTGTATGCATTAAAATGTTAGAAAAATGCTTGCATGTCCTGCATCTATCACCTTACATACTGTTCCACACTGTGAAGCATTTTTAGCAGTTTTTAATTGCAGTTTTATTAACTGATCCCCATATGTTTCTGTTACACTCTGCAGGTTCCTCCTCTCCGGTGCGACCTGCCACTCCTTCTTCAGTCAGCCCCACCCCACCACCACCTCCACCTCGCCCCCCTTCACGGCCCAAACTTCCTCCAGGGAAACCCACTGTTGGAGATGTGGTAAGTATATCAAATTCTCACTTCTAATTGATATGGTTGTGTTTTTGTATA